ATTTTATTGATCAAAAAAAAATTTCACCTATTTCTCAAAATAAAACTATTTATCTTAAGTCCAATAAATATGGGTTAAAAGGAGAGACAATTAAGATTTGATTTCACTTATAGTGCCTCTTATACGTATTTCATCCTAAAAGGAATCTTCGGAGAGAATTTACAGATGCTGTGAATGTGAAAACAATCTTTCCTGTCGTAATAAAAGCAGCGCTATAATGGCTTCGATATGGATACAATAGCGACATCTGATAATAAATCGAAACTTGAAATCAGAAGATTTCCAATTGTCGAAACCAAATTCAGATTTTTATTTTAATCTGTGCCTTCTAAGAATTGCAAGGCAAAACAAACGTTGATAAAGATGTAATTAGAGAAATGGGGAAACTAAAATTGCCTTCCTCCTCATATCTCCTCAACTAAGCAAAAATCATTGGCGAGTTGGTTTCTAGTACTCATAAAGAGTAAATCGAAATAAAAGAAGATACAGTTAAGATGGACAGTGCAGATGTTAGAAGTACGTGAAATCAATCATCTCAAATCTTCCTCTCTGTTGGGAACTTAAAACGCGCTTAAAACAAGATCCAACTCAATAGCTACACGTTAATATCACTTCTCAAATACACTTGGCTGAAAAATCTTCAGGACTCGACTTATTAGCCAAGGGTTTTTAAGTAAACAAACTTCAGATCACTGTTACGTACCAGTTAGGGGCATATAAAATAAATTCTTATACATTTTTATATAAAATAAATGTTTTATAGACCTGACAAAGGCTTTCGATCGCATCCAAGTCGAAGACGTCTTACACCTACTGTATAAAAGGAACATACCAATTAATATTATACAAACCATGAAAACATCTACCTCCATAATCGAATATAGGCAAAGATAAATGAAAAACTAACACAATATATACCAGTACAAAGCTGAATCAGACAAGGTATCTCATTAAGCCCACTTCTCTTTAATATAATAATGGACGAAATAATACAAGCAGTACGTAAAGGTCATGGCTAAAGAAATAAAATATGATAATATCAGCAGAAAAAATAAAATGTATGACAACATCTAAATACCCACTACCGTGTAAAATCGAAATTGATAGGAAAATTTCTCGGAATTTTCCAGATATCTAAACCTTGCTTTCTGCTTTATTATTTCCCCATCAATTACCGATTTTACACCGTAGTGGGTATTGAGAATAGAAATAACTAGTTACGGAGATAAGAAAAAGTACGACAACAAAGCTTAAAAGCAAGTAAAGCGGTGGGATCTCTTAATGA